GTATTTATACTACCTTCAAGTATTAATTTTTAACGAATAATTAAGAAAAGGGCACGAAGAATTAAAAGCGCACAGTCACTTATTGAACAAAGGTCAAAGAAAGTTGCCAAATATCGGAATGAATTAACTGATGTAGTTAAAGAAACAAAGGTACATTTACCTGAAGAAAGTGACACTGATTCGGGAAACCTCACTAAAAGAAGAATAAATGTATATGATTACAGTTAACATTCTGAAGAGGTATTTTTTGGCAAAATATTATATGCTAAATAATTACAATATTAATCATAATTATTTATAGTTAAAGGATTTGTTGATATATTTGGATAAACATTTGAAATTAATTCAAGTGTTCTAGCTAACTTGTAAATGATATCATAATAATTCATATTTTTATGACGTGATGCTACCAGAAGACTTGCTGAATTGGACATACAGTTTGAAAAAAACTTCAAAATGTAAACAAGAAAAAGAAACAAAAAAAAAAAAATCGGCAGATAAATTCAAAAGATGAAAAATTATCAAATATGAGGAATCATTAATATATTCAGAGGATGAGGAACAAACTAGGGAAAGTGCATGAATGGGTGAAATTTGGAGACAATTGGATTAGAAGAAAAAAGCAAAAAATTTCAGAAAATATTCGCAAGGTAAAACCAATTGGGACTAGTTTTAAAAGAGTCAAGCCGAGATCTTTAAAGGAAAAAGAAAAGCAAGTAGAAAAGAAGGAAGAGAAGAGAGAGGAAGAGAGAAATGATGAATAATTTAGTTAATTTAATTTGTAATTTTTTAATAAATTTCGTGAAATTTGAATTTTTTATTATAGTAATTTTTTTGCTGAATTTTTTTTTTGCAATAATTTTTTTGTTAAATTTTTTGCCGCAGTAATTTTTTTGCTGAATTTTTTGTCGCAGTATCAATTTTTTTGCTGAATTTTTTGCTGCAGTATCAATTTTTTTGCTGAATTTTTTGTCACAGTAACAATTTTTTTTGTTAGATTTTTTGCCGCAGTACCAATTTTTTTGCTGAATTTTTTGCTGCAATATCAATTTTTTTGCTGAATTTTTTATTGCAATATTGCCAGATTTTGTGCCGAATTTTTTTTTTCGCAGAATGCTGATATTTTTAATGCTAAGTGGCAGCAATTGTAAATAATTCGGCAATATTTTTATTATTAATTTTTGCCAAATTCAGCAATAATTCAGCAGCCGAATGACATAATTTCGACTAGTGTACATTTAGAGTTTTGATAAATTTCAAAATATTGACAAGTGAGTTAGGTAGAAATTTAGTTTTAGTGATACATTTTTAATGTAAAGTATACAAAATATTTAATAAAGCACATATAGCTAGCCTGACAGAAGGTTTAAAAAAAAAAAAGAAGTAATTATTAACCATAAGTAGTATCAAATTTTCAGGTTATATTAGTAGATTATTTCTACTTAAATGATTTGAATTAAAATTTTATAATATAATTTATAGTATAAAATGTAATACATATATCTAATTAAAAATATACATAGATATTTTACAGTATATCTACAAATAATTTGATAAGTTAGATTGGTTTAGTTTTATTTAATGATAGTTTTAAATTTTTTAGATTTAATTTCCTTAAGAATTCTTTTAATTCCATTTATAATAAAAGTTGCAATATATAAAAATTCGAAAAATTTCGAATTGAATAATTTATTTATACGCACTGTTTTTAAATTAATTCAATTGTTACTAAGTGTTCAAAAATCAGGCGTCTTATAAGAAAAATGTAGACTTTTAACAAAATCAAAAAAAAAAAGATGAAAAGGAATTCTGCAACAAACAATAAATCAAACTAAAGCTTCATTTCACAATTTTTCCTGTTTTTAAATCTATTTTTTGTAATTGCAATTCTACTTTTTGTTTTTGATTATATGCTAATGATTTACCAAAAAGAATTCAATATTGTTTTGTTTCAATTGGAACTTCTCGACAATTACAGTAAATTTTATGAGATTGCAATCATCCTCTTATTTTATTCATGTTTAAAGATACTACATAACCTAATTCATCCTAGACTTGATGCTTTAATCATCCAACAGATCGCTTTCGTTTATTTGAATTTGATAAATTTGATGTTTCTGATATTGTATCTTGTAGATTATATTGTGATTCAACGGTATCAGAATTCATTTTTAATTTAGTAAAAATATATACAGTATATAATTATTACCCTATCTACGTACAGTATATTATTTGCAACTCATTTGTTTTGTTTTGTTTTTATCGTCAAAATTTAAATATAACTTATAGTAAATATAATTTCATTAAATAAAAGGATTTTAATCAGAATTAAAATCCTCTCTTGTATATTTAGTACGTAAGTTTGAACCATAATAAACTTTTTGCGCAATGAAATAGGAAAACATGTATTATAGCTAGAAGTAATTAAATTTTGTGCTTTGGAAAATCAAATATAATTGTAAAAAATATTTGATTATTGGATAGCATCTAAATATAGCCAAAATCCATCCTACAGGATTTCCGTTCAATCACTTTTTAATAACCTCAAACACTTCGTAATCCTGTGTCTTAAAGCTGGAATTTAGCAAAATACTCTTCTCATAATCTTTTCTGTAACCTCGACCCCCAAACCACCACAAGTCATATCCAAATCCAAAGTTTGGAGAAGTACTATTCCCATCGAATATAGCTTCATCGGGGTTGGTCACCCTGCTTAATATGGAATTACCAATTCCTTTCCCGTCTATTCCTTTTCCATCAATGCCCAGCGAGAAGATGAAACTCTCGGTAGTGGATATCCATTTATGAGTGGAGGCCCAGGGCAATGGATTATATCCTCCAATAATATCACCAGTGTCTGCAACCTTTATTACAATCAATGTGGCCTTTTTATTATCACATCGATCATGGAATTCCTGAATCTTCATTCCATCCCGACTACCTCGTATCAATAATTTGAATTCATAGGGGATGATGTCGAGTTTGCTATTGTAGTCCCTGTGATCAATCCAACTCGAAATTAACGAAAGATGAGTGGATTCAATCAAAATAGAACCTGGGTCGTAACGTAAAACCCGGGAAGGAAGCTCCTCGCAGGGTGGATCGGTGCTTCCAAAATAATAAAATTTCTTGAGCTTTTCTTTAAGACGCTTTGGCAAGATGGATTTAAATGGTCGAATGTATTCATAATAAAGTCTACCGGATATTATAAAAAATCTAATGTATGGAAAGAAATCATGAACTCTGTTCTTCAACTCTTTAAAGTCATCGCTAGTCCAATTCTTGATGTCCTCATCAAGTTTTGGCTCTTGACCCATGCCCCATTTTACTACACTATTCCAAATATTGATTTCGTCGGTGTTAATGTCGTCACGTTTGATAAAGGTAAGAAGCGAGTTTTTCTCTACCCACGCAATGTCGCTCGATTTCAATAATAGATCGGGATTTCGACTTATTTGCTGACCACAGACTTCTCGAAGTTCAGCGAACGCTTCATGCTTTGATGAAATTTGAAAAATCTTAACGAGATTTTCAAGCAACAGAGCGGTCTCATTTGTAATTATGTAATTTTGTATGTGCTTAACAAGCCCATCGATTGCCAATTCGTCGGCCGCTATTAGTAACTTTATTATAGTATCGCAATCTTTTAGGTCACATGTTCCAGTATAGATATACCTGTTATCACGATCGAAGTTATTCGTGAGACTGATATCGTAATAAAAAATTGATGTAAATTATTCCCTTCAAAATTTCTTTAGGATAATCATCCATACTTATAAATATGTTTAAACACATTCGGCGAGATGTTAGATTTCACAAACGTGAAGCTCCCATCCTGTTCCCGTTCCACCCAATTGTTAGAAAATGATTCGCGAAAATACAGTGACCTGGCCCTAAGAATAACCGAATGGGCTTTGAAGATTTCCATTTCTGAATTTTCTCCAATTTTAATTTGCACATTATAATCGTCATAGAAGTCGTAATAGATGGAACATATATCTTGAGCCAAGGCAGTTAGATCGGTTAAGGACATCCTTAATGTATAAATCAAAGGGTTTTTGATTTTTAACACAAAAAAAACTCCGAATGCAACCATTGTTACATAAATTACGTATTTATTACGTAATAGGACGAATGATGATCTGTGCGTAATACGCAGAATTGCACAAATCTTTTTAACTATATCATGATGGAAGATGAAAAACTACTTTCTTCCTCATCTATTAGATCTCAGAACCGTTATTCGCATTCAGCTACAATCTCCTCCTCCTCAAACTTTGATTCGTCATTTGACATTGAAACAACAAATGAAAGTAGAATTCTACCTCTAAGTAATGTCATTAACAGAACATCGAACGATGTTGCTGAGAATTTACATATACCTCGACCTTTTATTCCAACTTATCTAAGAAACACTCTTATCGATATGAACAATAGAGTATCGAAAGAGTCAATACAATTGCCTTCAGGATGGAATAAATATGATGCAGGAGATGATATAAGGGTTAAAGAGTGTGGACTAGGTGCCGAGGTTGTCTGTAAGTGTTTGTTCAAGATTCATTATTTTCGCAATTATTATGGTTCAAAAAACGCATTAAGGTATTGAAATTGAATTTTGAGATGTTCACTTGAATTATTGTATTTTACCATTCTAGCTGACAACCATGAGGCCGCAGCCATTAGAACGGATTATCCAATACCTGTTATATCCGGAATTTATTATTTTGAAATTGATATCATTTTTGGTGGGAAAACGAAGTAATTTTCTTTACTCATCTTATTTCTAAAAATACGAAATTAACTATGGACATAGATTGCTCGGTTGTAAGGATTTACTGTACTTCGTGAAATTAACACAACATTTATAGCATTGTAGGAGTTGGAATTGGAACGAAGGAGTATGGACTCAACCTAATGCCAGGTATTATTTCGCTAAAGACTTAGGCTATGATTTAGTTGCATCCAAATTTACTATATCTACAGGACAGATGATCAACCTAACTTTTCGATCTAAAAATTAAGGTTGGGATAAATATTCATTCGGTTATCATGGTGATGATGGTCGCACATTTTATTACGGCCAACGGTGGAATATCGATCCCTACGGCCCGTTGTATGCAACTGGTGACACAATTGGTTGTTGTGTAGACTTTTTTGGAAAAAGTATTTTTTACACCAGGAACGGCGTTAATCTCGGTGAACTTAAGATTATTCAAGGTGAGTACGTTTTCTTCATATCTTTGTAATAAAAATCTATGTGAATATCAAGCATTTGATGAACTTATTGGAAAATGGATTACACAAGTAAGTCTACCATCTTCATCCTTTGAAGGTCCTTTTATTTTTATTTTTATTTTTTTTACTCGCACTAATATCATGCCATCAAAAAGTATCGAATAGAATCACTGGAATTTATGAGGAGCGATATATACCCTGTAATTGGTATGAAAAATCAACCGGTGTGCGTAGAAGCGAACTTTGGGACGAGACCATTTAAGTTCGATATTGATTATTACATAAAGGTGAGTTATTGGTCTCGATTATTAGTTTAGCACCGATGGGCTTTTTCAATGTTCTTATGGTTAAACTCTTAGAAACGGTATAAAGAAATTGGGAACGATCTCATCTGGAATTTATTCAGATGAAAATGTTTAAATCTTCTGTGCAACAAATATCTACAGTAAATCAAGTATGTAGACGGTGATGATGAGGATCTTATTCTCAGTTTATGACCGATCTTTCAGAACAAATACATTATCCTAGCACATCTTATTTATGAATTTTATATACTTTCCGGATATTCTATTTCTTACATTCGCTCCTATACTTTATTCGCCGACTCATTTTTAACTAGAAATTGTCTCAAATCCTTTTTGCATATTTCAATCATAATCTATTTATTTATAAATATTGTGCATTATTCATAGTTCCCAACTCGTATGACATTTTCTTAAATCAATTGGTGGTAAAATCTTCATGCACCTTTATACTTTGTTTTATCTATGTTTAAACCGAGCAACTCTTTATTAGCAGTTATTCGACTCAACGCTCAAAGAATTAAGAAACAATTAATGCACTCTTGTGGCTTGTCTTGGTTTATTAATTAATAAATTATTACACATAACGGATCTACTTGTCATTAAAACAATGGCCGATGTAAAATGTTTATACATCAAAAATAACAAACAAATAAATGTATTTTTCGTTATAGTAATTTTAATAATTTTTTATCATTTTTATCAATAATTAGTTACAATATACTGTATATATTAAAAATTATTTAATTCAAAACAGTAAGAATCTATGACCCAACAACACAACAATAGAATAATTAACAACAACAAACTATAAATAAACTTTACAAGTTGCAATAAACAAGTAAACAATACAATACTTATAGTTTAAATTTTTTTATCTATTAAAAAATAAAGAACTTTATATATATATTTTTTAAATTATATAATTTTATCAAGCTACTAAAATAGAAAAACTAAAAAAAAATTTTTTTTTGATTTTAAATTATATATAAAAAATATTTGTTCAAGTTTTTTTATAGTATACAATATATTTATCAAAAATGATTAATCAATATAAAATATATTAGTTATTAAAATATAAATAAGCTTTTATTAATTATAATTATATAATCTGATTCTTATTATATTATGTCAATACTTTATCCACTGATTCTCCAACTATATATAAAAAATATTTAAAAAAAGTTTTTATATTTCTATCTTTAAAATAACTTAAAAATAATTTCAAGAGCTATTTATACTTTCTTTTCTTTTAATTATAAAAACTTTTATATTTATTATTGTTTATTTTCTTATATTTATTCAATTTTTTTAATCTTTTTTTAATTCTAAATTTTGAAGTAACACAAATAATTGTCAATATTAAATATGTTAGTAATAAAATATAAACAAAATTTTACTAATTATATTATATATTTGATAAGATACAAATATCATATATATTATAGATAATAAAAAAGTCTTAATAATATATTATACAATTTTTTTTAAGTTAAATTATATCTAAAACAAAATTCAAAAATATATATAAAAAATAATAATATCTTAAAAGTTTTATATTTATTAAAAATTAAAATTTTTTTATTATTTATATCAATTAAAAAAAAAATATCAATATATAGCCTAAAAAAAAAAGTAATAGTTCAATCTTTTTAAAATAATATTATTTAAAAAAAAAATGGTTTAATATTTATTAAATCAAATAAAGTACAAGTCAAAAATATTAAAAAAAAATTTTTTTTAAAATAAGATTATTATAATAATAAAGAAAACCAAATTATTCAATAATAAGTTTTTTTCTTTCTTATGCATTTATATAATTAAATAAATATTAATATTATCGATCAAACTATTTTCTTCTATATTCTAGAATTTTTTTTACAATTTCTAATTTATTGCTATTTGAAAAAATATCTTTAAAGATCTTATGTTAAATAAAACAAAAAAAAAAAACTAGAGCTAAAAGATAAAATATTATAATATAACTATATTAAAAGCAATCGAAAAAAAATATTATAATCTGAATTAAAGGTATTCTCAAAGAATAACTAGTTTATAGTATTAAAATAATAATAATAGTATAATATTTTACATTACTTTACAATAAAATCAACTCTTTTTTTTTTTTTTTTGTATTTTTTTTGTTATATACAGAATCTTCTTTTTTATTTAATCTTATATAATTCATGTTTTATATATAATTTTACTTAAAAAATAAAATTATTATCATATAAATAAAATCAATCAGATTTTTAATCAAATATATAATATATAAATTTAAAGACAACCAATATAAATTTAATTTTTTTTTAATAATAATAGACTTTAATACTAATTTTTTTTTATTTTAAATAAGATAATATTGTTATAAGATAAATTATTTTTTATTTTTACTTTATTTAATTTGTAATTTTAAATATACATGTATAAAGTTTTTTTTTTTATATCTATAATATTAATAAGATTATATATAAAAATTTTTAAAAAACAAAGATTAAATAAATAATATAACTTAAAGACCTATAGGTCAATAATACAATAATTAACACTCCATAGGTTTGATCATAAGATATAGGTTTAAATTCTTTAAGTAGCAATGTTTGAAGTTAGTAAAATTTGTATCTGTTAACCTTAATCATGTCTAACTAATATTTTTGAATATAGCTTCTTATCATAAGGTATTTTAAAAAAAAATTCTGTTAATGAATAATATAATACTATATATCTAAGGATTGTAATCAGTGTGATATCCAAAATTGGCTAAGATTATCTTGATATCACTCAGTTATGCAAATATTGGAACAAAGTAATAAACATAAAAATAGATCTCTAAACCAATAGTATATCACTAATAATCAAGTATTAATCTTTGTGCCACTCACTGACTTAACTATCAGAAGGTCTTAATGGGAGAAAAAATTTGTATAATACTCTGAAGAACCAAAATATTGGATCCAGGATACTATATTTGATAACTTAATAAACATCTACTTTAGTATATAATAAAAATATATAAGGAATAATTAAGACAGAATTGAACAGTTTTTTATTAAAATAGTACATACTGTATATATATATAATATAATCAATATAGCTAGCTATATATATAATAGTTTACTATAATAGTTGATATATATAATGCTTATTTGAAAATGTATACAATAGATACATTCTTTCTTTCTTTATTTCCTTCTTTATCTGTATAAGTACATATGACAGTAATTTTAATCACTGAATAATTTAAATAAAAACTATAGGGCTTGATTAAATATATAGCAGTAATAACCTACTAGCAATAATACAGTGAACTAGAAAAGTTTTTACCCAAAGACAATGTATAGTAAAATATTGTTTCCAAGACTAAACTTAGAGACTCTTATATTTATAATGAGTTGATTAGATTAGAATAATAGTTTAGCTATAGTATATAATATGCTGCTTGAATAAAATTGTATATATATGTTTTCAATTGATTAATAAACTGAAAATCTAGTCTAGCTATAAGTACTCAAAAAAAAAAAAATAATATAACTTAAAGGTTAAATAAATTTCTTAAAACATTTAAAAAAAAAATTCATTTAAAATTTATTATGAAATAAAATATTATTTTCATAATTAAACTTAAAAACTTTAATATTTATAATAAGTTAATTAAACTTGAAATAATATTTAATTATAATATACTATACTATTTAAATAAATATATATTTATATAATTTATTGATTAATAAATAATAATTTATAATTGATACTATAGTCTATACTCTTTTCACTAATCCCTTAACTATACATAAAAAAGATGTTCGCAAGAAGTTTTTATTATTTTTGACTAATAAAATCTTCTTATTTATATTGATCATAGATAATTTTAAAAGTAGATCTGATAATTTCAAATAAATATAATCTATAATTATATCTAATACATTAAAATAATTAATATATTTTGTAAAGACATCTAAAGATCTAATTATATCAACTTCACTAATATCAAAACATATTTTTTCAACATGAATAATAGTATTATTCCATAAATAGGAGATAATAGCTTTATTCTTTTTCAGTATATTATGTAAATATTTGATATATTTTTTTATTCATTTCTTAACTAATTTCTATATAAAGATATTCTTTGCCATCCAGAGTTCATTTGAATCTATAATATTTTTAAAAATTCAAAATTAGATTGTGATTTAAAATATTTACTATTATTTATAAACTGGCACAA